CATATCGAATACATCACAGGTAGCTTGCCAGGCTTGTCGGGCTCTCCGAGAGGGGCGGAGGAATCGAACTCGGGTCAGCCACGTGCAAGGCAAACGCCCTCCCTGCTGTGCTATCACTCCAGTCCAAAGTTTAATCTACAAGAATGAGGAGAGGGATCACAATGGTTAAAATTCATTCCTAATAATAGAATCACAGTTAATCTACAAAAATGACTGGCTACCAATCCTTTCCTGTTTTTACAGGGCGGGGGGTGGGTGGAAGGAAGAGGAGGGCCGGGGTTGGTAAGATAAAAGAAATACATTAACTCATAAATCAGGGCAGTGGATGGGAAAGCACCCAAAGTAGGGAGCAGAGGAAATTCAAATTGTGCTGACTTTTCCAGTCTGCAAATGATAACTCTACAACCTCCAACTAGGTTAGGATGAACAAAAGCCATTCTCAATTGACCGCGGGTGTTCTAAAGTGTTCTGAAAAAAAAAAAATTATGAAACCTCTTTTTGTAAATTCAAAGGATATTTGTTATATGGACATATTAGGATCCCAGGATTTTTAGAGACGGAAGGAAACTTAGAGGTCATTTAATGAGACTTCGGGTTCAGGACTCCTAAACTCTTCTCTCCACCTCAGACGCTCTGAAAAGATTTCATCTAGAAGCTCAAAGAATAAAATCCTCTGATAAATTCATGAATCATTTAAATACATTAGGATTTCAAAAGAGAAATGAAGACTTACTAGGCAAATAAATATTGTCCAAAGATTTCAAATAACTGGAAGACAGACAGGGGAGGGCTTAGATGCTCCCAAGATTTTTGAAATACTCTGCCAATGAGTTTTATTTTTAAGAATGCCAGATGATTAATGACTACTTTTAAGCTGTTCATCAAGGAGATCATTTTGACAATAATTTGATTCCAATGTGTTTTGGGGTTATAAAAAAAAAGAACTCAGCTGTTCCCTGTTTAGGAACCAGCAAGATTTAAATTTCTAATTTCCAAAGCTACTGAATATTTGACTGATTAATTATAGCATCTGACAATGAAGAACCAGAAGAACATAAAGTTTCAAATATTGAAAGTTTCTAGAATAGTAAAAACTCCAGCTGCATTTTACTCTCCTGTAGAACATTAGCATATAATACAAAGATTTTTCTCAGTCTGATTTAAAAAAAAATAAAAACTTTGAAAAGAATCCTGGTAGATAGTCTCTAAGACTCTCTCTGGTCCCCAACTCTCTCCCACGTGCTATCTAATTCTGTATCATATCACGCCTGGTCTAGATGCAGGAAGAAGTGGTAATATGGCACTTTCTAGATTAAATACCACCATTCATAACAAATTTCAGAGGTAGCCACACAGGTTCAAGTCACACTGGGCTTTAACTCAGGGCACAGATTAAGTAAAATTACACACCTTGAAATACTTTCACTTGGATCCAATCTACTAAATCTTGCAAGCTGAACATGAATTACAAATTGCTCACAAAGTACTGACAACAGCAACAAAGACATCAATATACTAGAAATAATCAATTAAGCACAGATCCATCTACAACCTAATCAAAGAACACTCGAAAAAATTACAAACAGTTCTCTGAGCAGAGCATAAATATAAAAATGAGGCACGCCTGGTATCCTAAAGTTGTAGCTATCAATCACTCCTTCCCTCTTTGACACTCAGTTTCTGCATTACCTTTTTCATTCTCACCCACCCAAAAGTCTAGCTGCACCCCATCTCATTTTCAGAATATGAAGAAATATATATTCCCAGGAATCCATAGTCTTCTTCCTAGTTGCCACAGGAACTGAGGAGCTAAAAGAGGCAGTTCATAATCAAATTTCCATTGCCAGATAGTTATCTATTATTGGTTGATCAATGTGTGTGCCACATAGACAGCTGATATTCCATAAATGTTCCTCCTCCTCCTCCTCCTCCTCCTCCTCCTCCTCCTCCTCCTCCTCATCTATGTCATCAAGGGGAAAGTTCCATTTTCTCAAGTACTGATTCAGGATTCTCCTTAGCAACATTAGCTTTAAAAATATCAAGTGTTCTGTGGGTCTAACAGCATGACTTTTTCTCTAAAAGTAACTGGATTCAATGAGAAGAGGAATTTCTGCCATCTTGAGACAAGTTAACACTGGGAACCTTGGAAGAGCTCACCAAGTTCTCTTCCAATACTCAATTCTAGGTGGTTCTAAAGTCTCCAACTTTAGCTTTCAGCAGAGGCCTCCCGGGATATACCCATAAATTTAAATGTCCATAAGCCCAGTGCAGTGATATGCCTAAAATTCAAATGAACTGAAATAAAAAAAAAAAAAGAGGAATTGTGGAACTAAGTGATGGGCACAACGGCTGATTTCAACTGTTATATTTAAAAACTGCCAAGTGGAGAGAAAGGCAGGCATTACACACGCCCGACCCAATTTCGATCCCTGGCATCCCATATGTACCCTGAGCACCACCCGGAGTGCAGAGCCAGGAGTAAACCCTGATCATCACTGAATGTGGCCCAAAATCAAACAAAACTTGCCAAGGAGTCTCATGTCATGTTCAGTCAGGCAAAATGTTGCAAGAATCAGAACTTTTCCTTTAAAAAAAAAAACTTGTGTGGGTTATTCCCAGAAGCACTCAGGGGTACCCTGAGTGATCTGCTCCAGGAAGTGTCAGAGAGCCACCAAGGCCACACCCAGCAGTGGTGGGATGGTGGGCAGGGAACCATACAAAGCACATACAAAGCATGTAGCATGTGCTCTACTACCTAGCCACATCCCGGCCCCAAAGGTTTTCATTGCTCTACTGAGTCTAGGTCTCATATACCTAGAAGTTAGCCAGTCACATACTTATAATTTTTTCCACACAAAATCCCGGAAGAGAAATCCTACTGCTTGTAGACAGAGAAATCTTGCTGAATGCTCAGATTAAGAGTCAACACTATTTCCAATGGGAAATGATGTGATTAGAAAAGAGCGAGCAAGCAGAGCCAAAATACTCTGATACAATCAAAATGTTAAAAAAAAATCCCTGGTTATTCCCACCCTATCTCAATCTCACCCCTAATCCAAAGAACACTTGGTTCTTCTCTCCCATAAGCTTGTCGGTGAGAGTAACTGGTACTGCCTTTCCACGCTCAGTGGTGAAAAGGCCATCACACCACTAGTAAAGTTTCAGAGCCAGTATCAGCTCTAAGGCTTCAAACCCTCCTGGATTGTTCTTCCTCCATATCCAAAGCTACCACCAACTGCAGTGGTCTTATCTGCAAAAACATCAACATTCTCTCTTGCTACAGGATTGAGGAGCATTGCCTCTGAGCTTTGACAGCCAATACAGAGGGTCATTTGCCCTTGAAAGGCTGCCACCCCCTCTCCTAATCTGTACCTGCTGAGCGCCTCCAAAATTTAAATGCCCCAAAATTTAAAGGTTAGGAAACTAAAAACAGAAAGCTCCCTGTCCTACAAAGAGCTGAAATCAATGAAATCACAGATAAATCAAATAAGCAATCACTCTCTCTCTCTCTCTCTCTCTCGCTCGCTCGCTCTCTCTCCCCCCACAGAATTGCCCCATAAATCACCTGGGAATCACACCAAGCTTCCAGCAGTCCCAGTACTCACGTGGAAATTAGGAAGGACCCTGTCAAAGGCATGGTTCTAGGGGGAGCTGTTATTGACGCTGGCAGTTTAGAAACACCACACCACCAACACAAACACACAAACACACAAAACACAAACACATACACACACACACACACACTCCTGAACATCTGTAAGAGGGAGCAAGGAGGGAGCCCTTGGTGTCCAGTCCTGGAAAACTTGTGGAGTTCCTGAAGCTTCCCATTAGAACACACACACACACTCCACCCCACCCCCAACATCTATATGAGGGAGCAAGCACATATCCCATCCCCCCCCCAACATCTATAAGATGGAGCAAGGAGGGAGCCCTCGGTGTCCAGTCCTGCCAAACTCGTCGAGTCCCTGGAGCTTCCCATTAGAACACACACACACCACCCCACTCGTTGAGTCCCTGGAGCTTCCCATTAACACACACACACACACACACACACACACACACACACACACACACACACACACACACCACCACCACCACCACCACCACCCCACCCCCGGACATCTATAAGAGGAAGAAAGCACACATCCCACCCCCCACCACACTCCCTCTGAACATCTATAAGCGGGAGCAAGGAGGGAGCCCTCGGTGTCCAGTCCTGGAAAACTCGTCGAGTCCCTGGAGCTTCCCATTAGAACACTCACACACACCCCACCCCACCCCCAATCTCAAGAAGGAGCAAGCACATATCCCACCCCCACCGCAGCCCCTCTGAACACCGATATACAAGAGGGAGCAAGGAGGGAGCCCTCGGAGTCCAAGTCTTGGCAAACTCGTCGAGTCCCTGGAGCCTCCCCTTCGCAGCCACACTGGTGCCAGCTACAGAGAAAAGGAACCGACTGGGCGGTCGCGGTGGGGGCGTTAGGATGAAACATACTTAAGGCTCGGTCGGCTTAGACCCGACATAAAGCAAACAGCTCCAACTTTTTTTTTTGGGAGCACGCCCCAGCTCGGCTTCAAATCGAATCCCTGAGGTCCTCGGAAGCGTTTGCAACCCTTCGGAGCTCTTCACCGCCCCCGAGCCACACAGCAGGTCACTGACCAGGCTGAAGAAGTGGACGGTCCGCGGGGCCTCCAAGCCCCCGAGGGCAGGAAGTGGAAGCCGAGGCCATTTGTGGGGAAAGGGAAGGAGCCGCGGAAAGCGAGAGGCTGCAGCGCCACCTCGCATTTCCTCGGCCCCGAGCCTTCCCGGGCGCCGGGACTTGCGGGCAGCGAGCCGGGGGGACCGTGGCCGAGCCGGGGGACCCCGGCCCGGCGGGGGGGCGGGCAACGTGTCCAGCAGACACGCAGGGTGCTGAGCACTAGGACAAGGAGGCCACCCCTGTCCCCCAGCAGCGCTGGCCGGCGCACCCCACTCTCCCCAGCGCTGACCCCCTTACCCGGGAGGGACCCGTCCCGCGCCGCCTCGGCCGTCCACTCCGGGTCCTGCCGCTCCCAAACCTGCCCCACCCTCTCCTCCGCTTCCTCCCAGGACCCGACCCCTGGCTGTGCCCAGCCGATTTGTCACCGCGCTGCCCAAGCTCGCTTCCCCCCACCCCCTTGCTCCCTCCCCTCCCTCCCGCGCGCGCGCCCGGCGTCGCCTAGGCAACCCCACCTCTCAGGAGCGCGCCTTCCCTTCCGTTCCAGCCCTCCCGCCCGCCAGACACGCCCCTGCGAGGTTCTCCTAGCCAATCCGAAGCGGCGCGTTCGAGCCTCGGCCGTAGCTCTGCCCAATGAGAAGCCGCCGCGGGCGGGAGGGGTGGGCTCAGCAGGCAAGCCCCGCCCACCTTCACTTCCTCCTTCGCTCTCGCCCCGCCCCCCACCCCGCCCGTCCGGCCGTGCCGGCACGTGACCGTGGGCTGCTTGGGAGTCTTACAGCTGAGAGGAGGGCGGCGCTGGGGCGCGCGGGATGTGAATTCCCGACGCTGCTAGGCCTGAGTGGTGCAGGCAAAAGGGAAGGAGGGTGGGGATATCAAGAACAAGGAAAATTACAGTGCAGCCAGTTGAGCTTGAATGCTGGCGGGGGCAGCACTCGGGACCCCAGCTGATGGCCCCCGGGGCGCCCGTACTTGCCTGCCTGATGACATCCCAATCAGCAGGAATGGAGTTCCTGCAGCTACCTGAACTAGCAACAATTTAACTCAGGGTACAATAAGTGAAGCAGGCAAGCTCTCGGCCTATAGGTGTTTTTCTTCCACAACCTGCCCAACCATCCTTCCAGACCTTTATAACCTATTCAAATAAAAATAGATTTATTTTCTTAGCGTCAGCCCTTTGCAAGAGCTGAATCCTTCCCTCCCTTGTTCTCCAACTCCGCAGTTTTTTTTTTCCCCTCGCAGCGCTGACCCCCTACCCAAACCTCAGGACCTGACACACTATCGCAGTTCGTTGTTAAAATGTCCGCGTCTATAATCCTAGGGAAGGAAACTATCTCTTGTTTGATATCCACAGCAGCTAGAGCTGTGTAATTAAATTCTCGGGTTGTTTTTAATTATACATTGGGATACATGTGTATTATGAGAGGCTTTGTGCCTTAATTAGATTGCTATATATAAAAGCAACTAACAGATCCAGGCACCCCCCAACAATCACACAACTTTACCTTAGACTCAAGTAAAAGGCTCTAAAAAGCATGTATCCAGAGGAATATGCCATTTTGGCTGCTATCTTAAGTATTCTATTGCTATGATTCCTATATGCATTGTGTTACATGCTGATTATATGACAAATTCTGCTAGGTACTATACGGGAGAAAAGGGAAGAGCTTACAAATAAATAAATAAATAAATGAGGAGTTGTTTTGTATTTATAACCTGGAAGACAAATCAGACCCCAGCCCTCCTACGGAGCAATGATTAAGAGTGCAGCTCTGAAATCAGGAAGCACAGGTTCAGAGTTCAAAGTTCTACCATGTAACTGGCAGATAATCAGGACGTTGCTCTTGCTCAGTGGCCCAGTAGGACAGCACCTCTATACCTAGGTGTGAAGAGTTAAATGAGATGAAACAGGTGCCAAGGTTGATGTTGCATAGAGGTGGAGCATATGCAAGAGCACACAGGCGGATGGAGCCCCTGTGCTGCACCAGACACACTCACAAACACTCCCCACCTCTGCACCAGCTGCACCCTACTGCCAACCCCAAGCACTGAACCATCATGCCAGATGTGTCAACATTCCCCACCCCCAACACTGCTGGGAGGAGCTTATCAAAAACAATAAGGGAGATCACTTTCGAAGGAGCAGTACCGTACCTGCCAACAGGTGCACTCGAACATGTGATCACCAATCCAGAAACTGCATTTAAAAACTTTCTTCCCAAAATAGATAAAGGACCAAACGTGATAACCTCTCAGTATCTATCTGCATTACAAACCATAATGTCCCAAAGTAGATAGAGATTATGGGGAATAATGTCTGCCATGGAGGCAGGGGGAGGGTGGGTAAGGGGGAGTTTACCGGGGATATTGGTGGTGGGAAATGTGCCCTGGTGGAGGGATGGGTGTTTGATCATTGAGTGATTGTAACCCAAACATGAAAGCTTGTAACTATCTCACAGTGATTCAATAAAATTAAAAAAAAGAAAAACCTTTATTCCCAGTGCCTGTTGTATCCAGGGTATATACCACCACTGATTCAGACAACCCGACACTGCATGCCGCCTGGCACAAAGGACCTGTCAGGAGACTGCAATTTAATCAAAGTCAAGTTTAGACAGGACAGCAGCCCAGGTGAGTCATTCAGGGGAACAGGTTGGAGTCCCGGACAAACCTGGATTTTCCTGTCCCCAATTCCCAGGAATCCAGGTTGGAGGAGGTTTTCTCAGCTTTCCTTGGAGGTAAAACTGCATTCCTCTGTACTGGAAAAGGCACTAGGCACCAGGCTCCCTGAGAAATGCAGCATTCTGACTTCCCTCCCCTAGCCTCTGAGGGCCCCCTCTTGGTTCAGAGGGGATGGCAGGACTCTTTAAAGGACAAGTGTCATTTCTTTAAAGAATTTCATGGGTATCCTTATAGGCATGGCATTGAACCTGTATAATGTTTTGGGGAGTATTGCCATTTTGACAATGTTCATTCTCCCAATCCATGAGCAGGGGATATGTTTCCATTTCCTCATGTCCTCTTTTATTTCGTGAAGTAGTGTTTTGTAGTTTTCTTTGTACAGGTCCTTTACTTCCTTAGTTAGCTGATTCCAAGGTACTTGATTTTCTGAGGCATGATTGTGAACAGGATTGCTTTTTTTCATGTCACTTTCTTCTCTCTCATTATTTGCGTATAGGAAGGCAGTGGGAAGGATACTGGGAACATTGATGGTGTAGAACGGGCATTGGTGGAGGGATGGGTACTCAATGATTGTATGACTGAAACATATGCACAAAAGTTTGAAAGTCTGTAACTGTACCTCTCTGTAATTCGCTAAAAAAAATTAATTAAAATAAAAATAAATAAATAAATAAATAAATAAAGTAAAGGACAAGTGTCAGCCAGAATGTGTTCCTCCAGGGAACCCTTAGAGAAACACATATTCATTTCTGTTTTGAATGACAGGGGTCACTGGAGTTACTCCCCACCCGCCATCATGGCTAACCAAGAGTCATCCCCCCGAGATGAATCCCAATCTGCCTGTCACTGACTCAGGCACCGTCCTCATCACTGCTAATCCTCACTGCTTGCCGCTCCAAGTCTCTCTTCACCCTCCCCATGTGGGGGTACCTGCTCTGTGCTCCCTACTATCTGTAGGCTGAGCCACCGGCACTGATTTGACGACTCCCCAGGGAAGCAGACCCTGCCCCTGAGGTGACAGCCACCAGAAGACCCTTCACAAGGGACAAGATGCTAGTGTGTAGCTCTGAACAGTGAAATTGTAGCCCCAGTCTCCCAGAAGCCGGCCCTTTGGGTAGCACAAGGAGACCCCAGACACCACCCTAGTCTCCCCAGCTGCCCCGGTCTCCTGATGGTGTGGCAGGGGCCTCCCTGGATGCTGCCTGGCCACAAACGCCTCAGCCACTGGGTGGCTCATCTGCTCCTGAGACTGCAGTGTTCCCAGACACCACATCTCCAGAGGGCCCGGTTTCAACCCTCTTCCCTTCCCCAGTGTGAAATGTGTCCACACTTGCCACTCATCTGTTCACTGAGACCAGTCACATCCAGGTCCCCAACCAAGCACTCTTTAGACACACAGATACACAGAAACCCTGGAGGCAGCCCACCCTGTATAGCTGGTGAGACGGCTGGACACTTGCACTGAGAAATGATGTTCTCGGAAGCCTCCCTCATGCCTCCCTCACCTTTGCTCCCAGGAAGCCACCGTTTCTCACTTGATAGCAAGGGCCCTGGGGCCTAGAGGAGCCCAGGGCAGCCACATCCCCAGACCACTGGGTTGCAGAGCCAGAGGTTGATCTGAGGGGCTCAGTGTTTTCTTTTTTTTTTTCTTTTTGGGTCACACCTGGCAATGCACAGGGGTTATTCCTGACTCATGCACTCAGAATTACTCCTGATGGTGCTCAGGGGACCAAATGGGATGCTGGGAATCAAATCTGGGTTGGCCGTGTGCAAGGCAAATGCCCTACCCACTGTGCCATCGCTCCAGCCCCCAAGGGCTCAGCTTTGACTTGGTCTCCGCTGGACCTTGTTCAGGAAGCCAGAATGTTCCTTCCAACCTGCGGACGTGGTCAGGGGGTCCCAGATCCCATCATTCACCAGCACACCTGAAGGGAAACTAATGGTGCCCCCCCAGCCAGGTTGGAAAGTGCCCTTGGACTGTCTCCCACTCTCCTCCACCCCCTGAAGCACCTAAACTCCTGCTTCTCCCACCCTGAGCCGGCCCCAGCACTGGGGATACACAGCACAAACCTGGATGTTCCAGGCTGGGGCCCTGCTGGGCTCAGGCTGCACCAGAGTTGCTTCAGGGGGTAGTGATCAAGTCTCAGGCCCTCCCCTGTGGAGACACTGATGTAGCCAGAGTTAGGCCACGGCCCACTGCCCAGTGACAGGTGCAGCGGGAGACTGCTCCTCACCTCACGCCGGCCCCTAAGCTCACCTGCGTTCCAGACCTGGCATGCAACTTTCAGCACATACCTTCTTCGTTTCCTGCCACTTCATCTAAGACCCAAATTTAATTTTCCTTAGACCAATTTTTTCTAAGACCCAGTTCATCTGTGGCCCCAAAGCCATGTAGAAGCATTCCACAAAGCCATGGGAATCCAAAATTTTTTTCTTTCTTCCTCTCTTTCCTTCCTTCCTTTCTTCCTTATTCCTGGAAGTGTGCAGGGCTTTCTCCTGGCTTTGTTCTCAGGGCTCACACCATGTCGTGTGGGATGGAACCTGGGTCTTGGACACACAAAGCCTGCACTTAGCCCATCATGCTGTCTCCCAACCCCACCCCTTTCTTCTTTTTTAAAGTGTGTATTTATTTGGCTTTTTGATTACACCCGGTGATGCTCGGGAATTACACCTGACAGTGCTCAAGGGGCCGTATGGGATGCTGAGGATCATACCCAGGTTGACCCGATGCAAGGCAAATGCCCTACCTGCTGTACTATCA